CCAGACTATAGGGTTGGATTAGAGTTAAATCTAAGGTCTCTGCACAAACCATGTTTTGGATGTCCAAAATTTCTGCTTAGTTAAGATGGAGTTTCATTCTGAAAGAGTGAATAAAAAAAATAAAAAAATACATACAAGTTTTAGAGGTTTCTACTAATTAAACAGAAACTATTTTACTGGCAGATTGTTTTCTTTGTAATGAAATTATCCAAATGTACAATTTATTACCTTAATTCCATTTTCAATTTATCTCTAAGACTGATATCAATAATGCAGGAGGTTTTTAAATCAGCTGACGTAGCTCAACCTCCATGCTGACGCACAAAACTTGGAGAGAATTGCTAAACTGATGGACAGATGCTCAGTTCTGTTATCATTCAGACAATTATGCTGTTTACTTGTGTGCGTGTGTGCCTACACTCTAACACTAATACAATAATGTATCCACAACTATACAGGAGAGGGCTTATTAGATAATATTCTGCAACCAGTGCACAAAGATTAGGGGAAGTTTGTGTCATGGAGGTACTGTCTGCACAAATTAAGCAGACAGATGCTAGTTTTTCAAGCGGTCCTTATAGAGAAGGGGAGGCTATAATCACACCACTAGAGGACAAGACCTACCCTGCCCTCAAAATATATATTTTTTCTCCTAGCAATACTTTAAAATGTTGTTTGTATCCCAAAGTTTGTCAAAGTGGCACCCTGCACTTGGTGTGTCACAAATCAAGGTTCAACAGTTAATCATCCTTCCTCCATGGATTGAAAATTTGTCCTTTTACCTTCAGCAGGACGAAGTAGTGTTGCAGTCGTCTGGTCTTAGTTGAGCCCAGCTAATGACACTGTAATCCAGCAAATTAGTCGCAATCACGTTATTTAACCCAATTATACAATTTATAAGCTACTCAGACAAGTATTTAATTTGAGATCATTCAATATAGATTTGTGGTCAGAAAGGTCAGGGCTGCTTTCCTGCTGTTTTCTGGCACCACTAGAAAATTCATTTCTGGGTGAGTACCAATGACGTCACAATCCACTACAAAATGGTAATCTCATCTAACATCACATCCATTTCAATAAACCTATAACATAGTGCTGCGCATGTAGCCGAGAAAACAGAGTTCATGCTGTTTTTCATGTTGTTTTATATGTCCTGCAATTAACCCAGCCCCCCCAATCTTCAACCATCTTAGTCACTTATAAATCTCAAAGCAATCTTAAACACCCCTTGAGCATCTCAGAAACACAGAAAACCATTAGATGATTTATATCAATAAAAAAATGGATAATCTGGAGTATTTTAAAATTAATTATCTGTTTATCAACAAGCCAGCAAAATATGTAGGGTGATTTATTTCTGCCTTTCTTAAGTTGTCTTGGTGATCCCCAAAACGTCTGGCAAAATGTTCTGATGACTGATGAGACAAAACAGCTGTTAAGAGAAATATGGTGAAACATGCTGCTTTTAGTGCGAGAATCGGCAGTCGGTTTGAGTGTTTCAGGACTCGATTATTTACCATACATTTTTCAAGAATTTCAACTTCAACCTTATTTTCGTTGTCTCTTACATTTGGTGTATAGGAGGGTAATAACATACAAAAAAAAACAACAAAAACACATGGGAATACAATTACATTATATCACAAACACCACATAAATGTAGGGCCATTAGTTTGTGAGCTTTTAGTCAAGCAAAGTTGGGGTATCCAAAATGACAATTAGGTAAAAATGAATAAATCTTTCTTGATCAGTAGTAGTAGTAGTTGTTGATCAGTAACTTATCATGTTTCTGGAGGCAGTTACTTTTTCACAAAGTGTAGGATGGATCATGTAGCTGTTGGTGTTTTCCCTTTCCATACGATTGTTTGCCTAACAATAAAAGCTGTTGATGAAACATTTCAATGTAACTTCAAGGTCAAAGAAAACCTGTATGTTGGTGATTCATTCCTCTCCTTTGTAATCCCTTTTTCAGGACTAATAAGAGTCATAATTAAATACCCCAAAGTTTTTTGTTAAAATGACACAGAATAGAACACAGAATGGAACAGATCAATATTTGTATTAATTCAGGGTCCAATTATGTTTCCACATTGGTTTCACCATCCTGTTTGTCAAATATACCTGTGCAATACAAATATGGAAGAAAACCTGAAAACTTTGATAATATAATCTAATCTAATCTTTTAAGCAAAAAAAAAAAAAAAGTCAAAATGCCCCATAATAACCTTTTCATGTCTGGTAAAGTGGGTGCGTGTAGCATCATGGAAAGATTTGACCTTATTTTTAAAATAAGTCCTTAACAAGCAGCTGGATATCCTGTTAAGAAAATTACATAAACTAATCATATCCTGTTTCACTACAAAAACATCACCTCTCAAAACAAAAACAAAACAGTCACAAAAACAGTTTGTTCAGGATTCTCACGCATTAGGTGTGCGTATGAGGACACCTGCATGTCTGCTTCTGTTTACAGGCTTTGAGTCTGCCTTTTTTCTCCAAGTGTGTGTATGTGTGCTATTGATCTTGTCTGTCTGAAAGAAGAGACCCTATCTCAAATTGATTATCTCACTGTTTGTACTGTGTAAGAGTATCAGGGCTGATTGTTGACCCCAGACTCTCATTCTGGTTGTCTCTTTGTTTGACTTCAGGGCATTAGGAAATGTTTGCTTGTGCACTATTACCATTACTGTCTTTAAACAGTCTTTAAACAGCCATTGCACTGCACCATGTAGAATCCAAATCTTGTGCAATTCAGCTTAAACCAAATCAGTTATTTCCAGCTTGATTTAGTCTAGTTACATCCAGTCAGTTTAAGTCAAAATGAAATGCAATACATCCTAATTCAGTTGATTGTACAATCCTACCTAGAAGAGTCCTTCATCTAGGGAAACCAGGTCAGTTGCATATTAGCAATGGTGACAGTGCAGAGGAACCTGTCACTTTTAACAAAATAAACCTCCAACATAACCAGTCGGTAGCATGAGTGGCCAACATCAGCCACTGCTTTGTAGTTGAGAGGAAAATTGCAAGTTCTTTCTGTAGTGAAGTAAGGCAAAGAAAGCTCACACCACTAACAATGGGGATAGAACCGAGGCTGGTTTCCATCCAGAACGGAGATAGAGCTAAACACAGTGTTATGCTAGATTCAGACCGCACGCTGCAGAAGCAGCTAGTTTACAGGTGGAGCTACTGGCTTATTCCTGGCGGCTTCTCCGCAGGGCCTGGCCAGTTGGGGCCCGGCTGGGGCTCCCGCCGGGGTGTGCCCCTGGGGCCTCGGATCCCTGGGGCCCATGGCCTGATTTACTTAGGGGAGGCTGGCTGCTGGCGGAGCCCGTGGACTCGTCCCTGCGGCTCCCCGAGCTCCGGCATTGCGGTGGCTGGGGGACTTCCTCGGGGCTGTCTCTCCTCCTCCCTTGGTGGGGGTCAGATTTCTTGGGCTGGCCCCTCCTTGGCGCCTTCGCTCTTGGGGTTCCTTTGGGCGTCTGGAGCTTTGGGTCTCCCGGCGCTGGACTCAGTTCTCTTGGGGGGCGCCTCTTCACAACCACTATTGAGCATTTTTTCCTTTGGATAAACTTTACATGCACAAGTGCACTTTCACAAACAACTACAGGGGCTTGGTTCCAGGAACTTAGAGATTTGCATCCATACAGAAAGCCCATATTCTTATCTTCAGGTAACACAGAATATATGTCAGATTAAATAATACTACTTATACTTCAGCTATAGTATCTAGATGTTACTTTATTGTATATCTTGTGGCATGTCCGTTGGTTGTGCTGTTCAATTTACATCTCTTTGCAGGTGATGAAGCAGACTGAAAAAGGGTTTTATCATTATTTCCTTTTTATCTCCTCTTTCTTTCATCTTTTCTCCTTTTTTCTGTTTCCCTTTCCTGTTCTACCTACATTGCAACATCCATATAATCTGTAAAACTAACATAATTATAATAAAGCAATTTATATGCATGAAACAACGGGAACACTATGGCGATAGCCGTACTGCTCCATTTGTGAAAGTAAAATCTGTTGGGCTCTTTTTGGCATCAAGACAATTTTTCTTATTGCCACATCGCCAGACAGGACACTGTTAAAAAAAAAGAAAGAAGAAAGAAGCAGCTAGTTTACATGCAAATTCAATGGTTGACGTGCATCAAGGCGCAGCAAAAATGCAGCCGACATTAAGCTTCTATACTTCTGTGTTAATATATCCAGAGGGCTCAAAATAAAGCTGAGACAACTCTGCAGCTTATTGTGTCACAATAATCTAGCAATTGTTGAAATATTTCACTCTTTTTCTCTTCAGCTCTTAATTACTTGCAGCATATACTGTATAATTGAATCCATAAATATCACTATAGTCCAGATTAGGTGCTCTGATCTTGGTGGTTAAGGATGAATTTGGGATTAAATAAAGCCTGAAAACGACAATAATGTTAAGATGATTTAGATCTTCCTGAGTTGTTGTCCATTCTCAATCTTGCTTTGGAAAACCTGATTTATGCTGTCATTAACTAAAAATAATGAGACCTGGAAAATCACAGCAGCCAATCAAATAAAATAACACATTATTAAGTTTTGTAATGTAGATTTAACTGTTTAATCATATAATAATTGCAACATAATTACTCTTTATATACACATTTTGATTGGAACAATAAAAGCAGCATTGTTTACATTTCTGCATCAGCAATCACCAGTGCTGAAAAAAAATGGGATTGTATTAGCATTATAAAATACAGTTTTTCTGTACAGCATCAGGTTGACTGTAAAGAAAACTTTAACTACTGATGAGGTGATTAAGTTGAGGAAGACAAACAACTTTACTACAATCAAACTCCAGCACAAAGCCAGAAAAAAGGTTAGGTTAATATTTTACCAACTTTGGCCATTTGACAACTCCGGGCTGCTTACAGACTACGTGCAGACCGTGTAGCGCATTCAGCTGATAAAAGGGAGAGCTTTTGCTTAACAAAAGGGCTTATCTCAGCAAATTGATTGTCTTCTATAAAAGGGATGGTTTAGTCTGAGTAGAACTATTTCTTCAGTGCATGGCTCTTGAAACTATCTGTTTTCTACATTGAGTTACCATTGAAAGTTTCAGCTGCAAGTAATAATGGGAGTGACCTACAGCGTTGGAGAGTAAGTAATGCAGTTTTTATTGTCTTTAATTTGATGACAATTTTCATGTTTTCAAAGTGCAGTGAGGCTTTTAAGATGCCTTTGTTTTTGTTTGACAAATGCAAATGACTCTGTGTTTTGTCTCATTGGAGTAAACATGTTGTTTATAATCACCTGTGGTGCTATTTGAATCTCAGAAAGGCATGGATATAGGAGGTAATGTTATATAAACTTGATATTTATCTTTCCAGGCAAAACAATTGTTTTTCATATAAAATTTTTCAATAGAAGAACTTTTCATGAACAGCTACAGATAAAATGATTCAAATGTATGAGTATCTGTTCAGATCTGTTCTGTATATTTTGCAATAGACAAATGCATTTTGTTAACGTTTCCTATTGAGGCTTTCACAGTCAGCAAGCATTACTTAAAACTTTCTCAGCATGGCTAAAAAAAGCTGTTCTGATCAGGAAATTCCAGAGAACAATGACTTCAACCAGAGCCAATTCAAAGCACAGGAAGCATTGCTAACACATTTCTTGCCTCCATAGAGGTGTAAGTTGACACTTGCTGCACTTGTCAATGTGCTATTCATCAAGAGTAAAATCTTGCATGTTAATGAATGTTGTATCTTATTAATATTTGAGAAATAGAATAGAATAAGCAATTAAGTACGACACATATCAAGCAGAGTTTGGTTTAACTGCATAAACATAATTTGTTGCTACTGATACCTTGAAATAATCAGTAAAAAAGTAAATTTTTATTTCATTAAAGTTCAGCTTTCTTTCTTTCTTTCTTTCTTTCTTTCTTTCTTTCTTTCTTTCTTTCTTTCTTTCTT